ATGGATGGAGGACAACAGAGCTGCTTCATGGAAGAAGAACCTCAGCTTAGCCTGTTAGCCTTCGTGCTAGCCCTCATGCTTTATTGCCTTGTATGTATTAGCTCGGCGCTAGCGCAACAAACAAGCTAAACTGAGGTCCTCCATCCATATTTTCAGTTTCAGGCTGAGTCATTTTTGCGTTCCTCTCTCTGTCATGTGGACGGAGGACCGCAGTGATGAGAGGAGAATGTGTAGCACTGAGCTAGTACATATACACTTAAAAATATAAACGTCCCATGTGAAATATTGTTGCCATGGGGAGTTAACAACAGTAAATGAGCATTTGCTGACATTTTATTGTTCAAAGGTAATATTTCTCTTTGTTTGTGTATAATTTTTAATCTTAACCTGCTGTCAGTGAGCATTACTCAGTGAGTTGTTGTTTTACTCAGTGCATGGGTGGGGCATGTCCAGTGGGTGATCAGACAAAATGAACAACAGCTGGACAATCCTTAGACTGGGGTCAATAAAAGGCCACCCCAAAATGTCAATTTTGTCACATGTCATGTTTGTCACAATGCCTCAGATGTCACAAGTTATGCAGGAGCGTGCCYTTGGCATGCTGGATGCAGGGATGTCTACCAGAGCAGTAGCTGCAAGGTTCAATGTCCGTTATCGGACCATAGCCCGTTTGAGAGTTCGTTTCCAACAGACTGGCACTACTGCAAATCGATCTCATCCTCGTCGGCCACGTGTGACCACTCCAGCACAAGATCACCACGTCTGGCTCGTCCATTTGTGGGATCGACTAAGACCAGTGACACACACAGCTGATGAGACTATTGGTCTGCACAACAGACTCATCACACCTCAGACTGTCCGTAACCGCCTACGAGAAGCCAACTTGCGTGCTCAGCGCCCTCACCGTGGTCTGGATCTCACTGCAGTCAGGTGTAGGAACTGACTCACATGGGCAAATGCACATGTCCGATGGCCCTTGGCACGCTGGAGAAGACTTAAGGTCACGGATGAATCCAGTTCCAGTTGTATCATGCAGATAAAAGACGGCGTGTCTGGCGACGTGTGTGTGAATGGTTTGCATGTGCAAATGTTATGCCCAGGGTTGCCCATGGAGGTGGTGACATTATGGTGTGGTCAGGCATCACWTACAGGCGTAGAACACCATTGCGCTTCATTGAAGGGACKCTTAATGCAAAAGGATATCGGGACGAGATTCTCACCCCAACTGTTGTGCTGTTTGTGCGCCAGCATGACATCACCTTTCAACATGACAATGGCTGACCTCACGTTACCCACATCTGCATGGAATTCCTTCAAACAGAGGACATTGAAGTTCTGGACTGGCCTGCATATTCACCAGACATGTCCCCAATAGAGCAGCTTTGGGATGTTCTGGATAGGCGTGTCCGGGACCGTGTTCCAGTTCCAGGCAATGTGGGTCAGCTTCATGTGGCACTCCAGGAGGAATGGAATAACATTCCACAGGCCACCATAGACAATCTGATCAACTCCATGAGAAGAAGATGTGTTGCTCTGAGAGACGCAGCTGGCGGACACACAAGATACTCATGTTCAAAGGACTGTCAATCCACTACAAATGGCCATACCATGATGTTATCAGTGCTGATATGAAGATCAGTAATTACTGAAAATATATTTTGAGTTTCTCTGTATGTTGTGTAACACAAACGTTCATAAAACTCTTGTATTTGACATGGGATGTTTATATTTTTTTAAAGTGTATATGATGATAGCATGGTGGCTAATGCTAAAGCTAACAGGCTAAGCTGAGGTTGTTCTTCCATGAAGCAGCTCTGTTGTCCTC